GGGGGAATGTGTGCTGGGAGCAGTTCTTTTCCAGGCCTCCAGGGGGCAGCATGGGCCACAGGGAGCTCACCACCGAGCTCAGTTCCAAGCTGTACGGGACCCTGGGTAGTCTGGGGACCCTGGGTAGTCTGGGAACCCCAGACTCCCCGGTTACAAGCTTTGTGCACACCATTTATTGAGCACTTACTATCTTCTCAGGCTCATGCTGGGATGCTCAGGGCCACAACATTTTGGGGAGGACAGGGCGGTGGTCCCCCAGTGTCCAGGGGGAAGTGGCCATGGTTGCTTCCTGCCGACACAGCTGGCCAGCTGGTGTCAGCACACACACCCCCCCCATCGGGGTTTCCTGTTTGTGCAGCGCTTGCCCAGCTCCATCTCCACGGGACTCCCTGGCGAGCAGGGAGGAAGTGATTTCCTCAGTCAGACGCTGGAGCTCCCCAGGGGGCCTGGCCCAAGCACCGCTGCCCCCTGCCTGCCTTGAACATCTGGCTTGGAGGGAGATGCCTGGGGATCTCAGCAGGCCATGGAGGACTCTGGGTCACAGACGGCCAGTGAGCAGCAGTCTGGGGGGGCCTGTGAACCTCTTGGAACCAGCTGGCCTCCCTGGGCATGGCTGTGCCATCTCTAATTTCTCTTTCTCTCTCTGCTTCATTCCTCCCTCCTTTCTCTCTACAAATATTTATTGAGCACCTACTGTGTACCAGGTCCTATTCTAGGCACTAAGTGCACAACAGTAATGGAGACAGACAAAAACCCCTGCCCTTGAGGAGGTGATGTTCCATTAGGAGAGATAAGCAAACACATATGCAATTACTAAATTTCTCTGAAAAAATAAAATAGAGGGTGGCAATCAATCAAGAGAGGCTGAGGCTGCTTGAGCTCAGGGGCTCAGGGAAGATCTCTCTGAGAGGGGGGCCATCTGAGCTGAGAGCTGGGAGATCTGGAAAGGGAGAGCAAATAGCTGTCCAGGCAGAGGGCACAGCATGTGCAAAGGCCCTGGGGCAGGACTGTGCCTGGCATGTTGGAGGGACAGTGAGGAGGTGCTTGTGGCTAGAGCAGAGTGAGCAAGGGGGAGAGAGGGCAGAGGCAAGGGCAGGGAGGGAATAGGGCAGGTTGTTCGTTGAGGGCCTTGGGGGCCACAGGGAGGACTTGGGCTTTTTACCCAGAGGAGACAGGAGCCCTGGAAGGCTGTGGGCAGAGGAGGGGTGGGACCTGGCTCAGGTGCTCACTGGTGCCCTCTGGCCACTGTGGGGAGGACAGACTGTGGGGGTCGGGATCCTGGGGGAATCGGCAGAATCAGCTTCTAAATCCTTTCCGTCCTTCAGGGCTCTGCTCCAAGTCCTGCCTCTGGCAAATTCTCCCACTTTCCATCCCCCAACACAGAGCTGACTTATCCTACTGATGGTTAAATGTCCCATGGGGCTGCAGGGCCCTCTGGCACCTCTCTTGTGGTGTGAGTACTTAGGAGTCCCGACACTGGGAGCTCAGAGTTGTGGGTTCTAAGTGCTGGGTGGCCCTGGGCAGGCCCCTTAACCTCTCTGAGCCTCAGTTTCCTTATCTGCAAAATGGAACAACACAGCACCTACCCCACAGCATGGCTGTGAGGAATGAACCGTTCATACTCGTATGTGTGAGGTGTGAACACAGGGCCACACAGAGCACATGGGGGGGGGCGGGTGGTGCTCAGAAAATGATTCCCAAATAAAAGATGAGGATGGGGCTGTGCTCTCCACCCCTCGCTTTCCCCAGACTCACCCAGCGTGATGGGCTTGCTGTCCTCCTGGTCAGAGCCCATCCCTGCCCGGGGACTGCCGCTCTGTTCTGCATCTGCAAAGAAAGGGAGGAGGAGTTGGTGACACTGCAGGGACCCCCATCCCAAGAGGAGAGGATGGCCCCTAAACATTGCAAGGCCCCCAGGTCTCTGCTTGGCCCCCTCCCTTGGCTGCTGCCCCAGAAGATCACGGATGTCTGTCTGGGCACCTGCAGACCCCAGCGCAGGTCCCCATGTGCTGGGATGTGGCCTCACGCATAGGGCGAGAACCTATGTCCAGGGGCTGGCTCTGCTGTGGGTTAGAGCTCTTCCCCCTCTGAGCCTCAGTTTCCTCATCTGTGAAATAAGGTAGCTCATTTAATCCTGCCTCAGCCTTAGGAGGTAGGAGCTATCAAGCCTATCTTACTGGCATGGGGAAACTGAGGACCAGAGAGATAAGTCTTTGAGACATCAGGTCCCCTCCCCTCGGCTTCTGTCCTTGAAGTCCTAAGGGTTCAGCCCTTGGTCTTCGGGGGGGCCACTCAGGACCCCAAAATAGGGGGCCTCTGTAGCTGCAATGCCCCCACCCACCTGCCTGGCATGGTGGCTCCCTCCCGCCCCGGTGTCCGCCCCTCCATCTTATCTAAAAATAATCAGGCTCCTTGGCAGACGGGCATAGCAGACAGACGCTGAGCTCAGCTTTATCGGCTCCGGTGGCCTGGATGGAGGGTGATCACGCCAGCTCCCTCTGTAGGCCCCACATCCACTCAGGACCGGGGCTGAGAGGGGCACATGGCTGAGCCCAGCTGGACAGGGACCCCCCAGACCCACCCATCTGTCTCTCAGGTCAAACAGGAAGGTGGTGGAAATCACCATCAAATGCCAGAGAGAGAATCAGGGCCCCCCACCTGCCACACCCCAAAGCTGGAAGTAATAGGACCCCCCACCTGCTATACCCCAAAGTCAGGAGAAATCGTGTGTGTGTGTGTGTGTGTGTGTGTGTGTGTGTGTGTGTGTGTGTGTGTGTGTCCGTGTCCCCTCAGTCACTTAACTGTTCTGAGCCACAGTTTTCTCCCCTTTCAAATGGGTGTGAGCATCACCCAGGCCTGAGCAAGAGGTGGCAAGGAGATAATACATATGAAGTGTTTAGAGCATGGTAATGTCCATCAGATTATTATTACTATTGTTACTAAGATTTTTAAATCTCTAAGATGATCACAAATATGGCGCTTTATTGTTCCTATTTTGTATGTTCCCTTAAATCCTTAAGATAACCACAAAGCTGGCATTATAATTGTACCTATTATATAGGCAAGGAAAATGAGTTAGAAAATGAAAAGGTCCCCACCCTAAACCACTTGTGCTCTGTTATGAAGGTCACAGTTGACTCTTGAACAATAACGAGATTAGTAGAGCTGATCCCCTGTGCAGTCAAAAAGCCTTGTATAATTTGACTCCCCAAAAACTTAACTCATAGCCTACTGTTGACCGGAAGCATTATTGATAATGTAAATAGTCAATTAATATGTATTTTGTATATTATATGTATTATATACGGTATTCTTATACTAAACTAGAGGAAAAAAAGTTATTCAGTTAATCATAAGGAAGAGAAAATACATTTACAGTATTTATTGAAAAAAACCCACATGTAAGTGGACCCGCACAGTTCAAATTCATGCTGTTAAAGGGTCAGCTGTATTTCGTTCATTGGTTTGTGCGGGCAGCCAGACTTCCAATGCCCTGTGTGTGCGTGAGCTGTCTGGCTTCTGGGATCAGAGGCCTGAGTTCCCATCTGTTTGGGAGCCTTAGAGGAGGTGTGGTCAAGGGGAGGTCACTTCCTCTCTGGGGGCCTCAGTTACCTCAGGGTTGTCATGGGGATAATAATAATAATGATACTTCCTAAAACAGTCATGAGCCCTTGCTGTTTGTCTGGCACTGTGCTAGTGGCTTTGCACAGATTGTGTGTTGCATACCTACTGGCTGCTAAGATTGAGGATGCCATAAACAGCCTAGGAGCAGGGCTTGTGCAAGGCGGTGTCTGTTTCACATCCAGGAGCAGATGGGAGCAACCCCTCCTTGACTTGTATTTGCAGATCCAGTCATGGCTGACTGGGCTGAGCATGGCTGGGCAGCAGCCGAGGGGAATATGCCCGGCTCGGCCCTGAGCCCTGTGGCCACTGCCGGGCTGGGCAGCCAGCGGCCCCTTGGAGCCAGCCAGTCCTGCTGGCTAGTCACAGGCGGCCACTCTGTTGGGAAGTGCCCGGCCCGGGCAGCCGTCGGGCTCCTGGCCTCGGGCACAGGACCCTCTTCAGGAACCAGTGCCCACATGGACTCAGCAGGCAGCAGTGTCTGGTTGGCACCTGGGCACTCCCCCAAGAAGGGGAGATGTTTCTTGAGCATCGCCTCTGTGCTTGTGCTTTGGAACCAGGCAGACAGGGTTGTGGGCCTCAGATGCAATGCCTCATCTCTCTCTGTGCCTCACTCTCCTCATCTGCAATAGGCACAACCACCACACCTCCCTCAGAGGCTGCTTGTCAGGGAAAAGGTGACAATGCATGCAGTAAAGCACCCCAAACAGTGGCTCTTGCGTAGGAAGAGCCTTATCAATTGCGTAGGAAGAGCCTTTATCAATTGGAGGAGGGACCTTATTACTAGTATTACCATCTCTGTTGTTGTCTGTGCCCTAGTTACTTTATATCCATTAAAAGAGATGGTGCTAGGGTATGGCTAGCTCTAGTTGGAGTCTCTGTCCCATTATTCATTCACTCGTTGACCTCAGGCCAGCTACCTCACCTCTCTGAGCTTCACTTTCCTCATCTGTAGAATGGGGACGATAATAAACCCTACCTCCCAGGGTTTGTTGGGTTGCCAAGTCAGCTAATAAGTGTAAAAGGGTTGCCACCAATTTGACAATCAATACACAGTAGCATTGGGGAGGTATTATAAACAATACTGAGTTTTTAATTTAATTTTTGTTTCTAATTGTTCATTGCTAGCATTCAGAAATGCAGCTGGGTTTTGTGTGTTAATCTTGTATTCTGAAACCTTGCTGAACTCACTTCATAGCTCTAAGAGCCTTTATTTTTGTTTAGATTTCTTGGGATTATCTATGTAGACCATCATGTCATTTGCAAATAGGGACAGTTTTATTTCTTCCTTTCCAATCTGTATGCCTCTGATTTCCTTTTCTTGCCTTATTGCATTGGTTGGGACATCCAGAGCAATGGTGAGTAAAAGTGGGGAGAGCATATGTCCTTGTCTTGCTTCTGATCTTAGGGGAAGTCACGCATCTCTCACCGCTAAGTATGATGTTAGTTGTGGGTTTCTATAGATCTCTTGTTGTGTTGGAGAAGTTGCCCTTTTCCACAGTTCAGGGAAGTCTTTTTATTTATTTAAGTAAGTGCAGTTTCTAAATAATATGAGGCTGTACTTATATGTCATCTCATTAAAATTTTTTAAATTTAATTTTTATATTGTGGTTAAATACATAACATAAAATTTACCATTTTAACCATTTTTAAGTGCACAGCTCAGTGGCATTAAGCACATTCCACACTGTTGTGCAGCTGTCCCCACCGTCCATCTCCAGAACTTTCCATCTCCCCAAACTGACACTCTGTCCCCATTAAACACTCCCTCCCTCCCTTCCCCTCCCCCCGCCCCTGGCACCACCATCTACTCTTGTCTCTATGGATTTGACTCCTCTAGGGACCTGCTATGAGTGGAATCACACAGTGCTTGTTCTTCTGTGTCTGGCTTATTTCACTGAGCATTATGTCCTCAGTTCAATCAATGTTATAGCAGGTGTCAGAATTTCCTTCCTTTTTATTATGCCTTCTTATTTTTAATCATCTCTAAAACCTCAAAATATTTCTCATCCACCTGCTGATCACTTGCCCATCACTTGGTTTCTGAAAACTCCCAGCTTCTAGAGCTGTCTAGTATGGGAGCCACTAGCCACATGTGACTTTGCATTTAAATGAGCTAAATTGAAATGAAATTAAATGGTCAGAACTTCAGTCTCACTGGTCATCTTTCAGTACTCAAGAGCCACACATGGCTGGTGGACCAAACAGGAGAGTGCCAAACATTGCCATCAACATGGAAAGTTCTAGGCCAAGCAGCTCTGGGTGTTCCATGAAAAATCAGAAAAAAGAGAGGGGGCACTGATGATTCCTCCTCCTCCATTGTACTTAGACATCCAGCCCTAAAACAGACCTTCCTTTGGTCTGAACAGATGTACCCATGGGTAGATAATGTCTAAAGGCCAGCTAACGCCCCAGGGCCAATGCTCCAAGATATCTCAGCCCCCAAATGGGTAGCTTTCAGTTGCTGAGCTCTTACTGTGTTAAGAGTTTCATGGCACCATTTGATTAAATCCACCCAATTGGTGAGGTTGGTAAACTGAGGCCCAGCTCAGAGAGTCTATTTCCCAAAGCTGAGGTAAATTAGAAGTTGTCTGCCTAGCGTAGAGGTTCTTAACTGGGGCAATTTTGTCCCCAAGGACAATGTCTGGGGTCATCTGTGGTTGTCACACTGGAGGTGCTCTTGGCATCAAGTGGGTGGGGACCAGGGATAAGGCTCAGCACACCACAGTGCCCAGGACAGACCCCCCCACCCCCCAGAGAATGACCCTGCCCCGATATCAGCAGAGCCGAGGGGGAGAGACCCTGGTCTCGATCTATCCATTCTTGAAAATTGGTTCTTGTGGGGCAGATGGAAGGGACTAAAGAGTTCTGCTCTTTTTATGTATAAAACATAAATATGTAGATATAGATATAATATACCCGTGATATTAAAATTTCATGGGGGTGGAATGATTAGGGAGAAAAATATCTAAAAAGGCTCTTTACGTGGAGGCAATTAAAAAAAGTGAGTGGGGGCAGCCCAGTGGCTCAGTTGTTTAAGAGCGCGAGCTCTGAGCAACAGGTTGCCGGTTCGAATCCCACATGGGCCAGTGATCTGCGCCCCAGCTAAGCTGTTACTGAGCTGTCAACAGGCTGCAGGATGGCTCAGCTGCTGAGAACATGTGCTCCTAACAACAAGGTTGCCAGTTCAACTCCTGCATGGGATG